CATTGTTCCGTTAGTGTTAATGCGTATAGGTGATAAAATTGGCGACATTGGTGGCGGGGTGAATAATGAAAAAAGTTTCTTTTTTGAAGATAATGCCATTATTTATTCATACATATATTGTATGCAAATATATGCGCTGAAATTCGTTAATTATAAAGCACCAAAAAGTTTGTTATAATTTCTTTATTTTACTCCTATTGCCCTTCTTCAATTTCATAAATAGATCTTGTAAAAAAAGTAAATTCTACCTCCTTTTTTTTATTTTTTTTCCAAAGAATGTGTGTGTACCAATGTACTAAGGGGTTTTTTGTACTAATTGTGCTATAGCATTAAATTTTTAGAGTTTAGGGGTATTCCAATGCGCATTATGCGCACGTAGTTATTTGCACATGGAAAAATTTGATGTAACAATGATATCTAACTATTTTCCTACAATAGAAACCTTGGAAGATAGACAGCTTCAACAACCTACTCTTGAAGATATTCGTAAAGCCGGAGAAAACTTTGAGCGACTTGTTGCAGCTGCTGAAGCTTATCGTGATCTAACAATAAAGATTGGCAAAGCATCTAAAACTCTCAGTAAAGCGTTAAAAGATTATGGGAATAGTAAAGGAATGGATAATATTCATGTTATGTGTCTTCAAACTTCTTCACAATTTTATGAACAAAATTCAGAAGTTCAAAATAAATTGGTAGATTTATTTTTTTTATTGTATTATTTATAATTAGAAATTTTATTTATATTTGATTAATATTTTTCTAATCCTTATTCTTTAGAACAAAGTTTTGCAAAAAGATTTTGATAGCCTTCAGAAAGTTTCGGAAAAATATTTCAAAAAAACAACTGTGAGATTTTCCCTTATTGCATAGGATTTTTTTTATAAATATAAATATATATATTATAACATTATATTATATTAATATTATTTAGAAAGAAGAAAAGTCAATTTTGTTTACCATCAACATTATAAAATCTTGAACTTAAAGGATTATATAAATCAAGACAATTTGGACAAAATAATTTGACAGTTTCTACTCCTGGCATATCACTTCTACCACATGGTATAACAGGACATGTCTGACAAAATACTCTTGGACAAGTACCAAAATGTCCTGATTCATATTTATCCACCTGATATTTCCAAAAAAAGAAATATACAATTTAGAATTGGAGAATTTAATAAATCAGATTATGTATTTATATATTAATGACATGTAACTTGCCATCTGCTGTAATCCTTGACGTGTTATAATATATCGTTGATGTATTAACCCATATAATAATTCTGCCGAAGTTTCAACAATTGAAACATCCGGTACTCTTAAACTATCTTCTTCT